AGCTTCAGGCTCAGGTGTGCCATCTGGTTACCCACGCCAACCAACCCTAAACAGTTTTGGAAACCAACACAACAGTTCGGTAAGTCGATGGTCCACAAGGCCATGTTAGAGACAGTAATTGTTTTGCACATTTTAATTGTTTCAAGCCTAGATTTCTAATTGTAATGTCTTCCTTTTCAGTTTGGCTATGATGGCATCAATACCAGTAGGACCTTCCAGGCTCGTGGTGAATCAACCCAGTTCAGACAGGCTCAAGAGAATGATGTTATGCCTTCTGGGTTCAGGCCTCGTACAAATGCTCATCCATTGGAGAATCCTCGTGACAATGACGTATGTACCTAGATGGTTGAGTGGGCCATGTTAGAGACAGTATTTATTTCTTTTGCACATTTTAATTGTTTCAAGCCTAGTTTTCTAATTGTAATGTCTTCCTTTTCAGTTTGGCTATGATGGCATCAATGTCAGTAGGACCTTCCAGGCTCGTGGTGAATCAACCCAGTTCAGACAGTCTCAAGAGAATGATGTTATGCCTTCTGGGTTCAGGGCTCGTATAAATGCTCATCCATTGGAGAATCCTCGTAACAATGACGCATGTTCCTAGATGGTCGAGTGGTCCATGTTAGAGACAGTATTTAATTCTTTTGCACATTTTAATTGTTTCAAGCCTAGTTTTCTAATTGTAATGTCTTCCTTTTTAGTTTGGATATGATGGCATCAATGCCAATAGGGCCTTCCAGGCTCGTGGTGAATCAACCCAGTTGAGACGGGCTCAAGAGAATGTTATGCCTTCTGGGTTCAGGGCTCGTATAAATGCTCATCCATTGGAGAATCCTCGTAACAATGACGTAAGTTCCTAGGTGGGTCACATTTTTGTGAATCTGGACAACCTGCAATACAGAGAAGGTACGGCGTTCTCTAAAAAGTACAAAGTGGAAGACCAGCCGTCCCAATTGACATTGAATGCTGAGACCTATAAATTAGTTGGTATGATTTTCTATCGGCCAAACCACTATCTTGCAGTTTGCAAAAGAAGAGAAACAGCCAGGTGGGATGTAATGGACGACTGTAACAAGACAATACACCTAGTGAAGCCTTCGGATTCGTTCACCCCACATTTTTTGATGTTCGTGAAGTGAAATAGTTCGACCCCTGAAAACTAAAAGGTCGTACCTCGGAGCGGCTGCGTATAAGGTCGTACCTCGGAGCGGTTGCGTAAAGTGTCGGATCTCGCCAGGGTCCCAGAGAATGGTCGTAAGTCTATTTTTTGTCGATTTTGCGAGATGCCTACCATTAGAATCGGGAGAAAATTCTCTTTCTAATGATATGCATCTCGCAAAATCGACAAAAAATAGACTTACGACCATTCTCTAGGACGCTGGCGAGATCCGACACTATACGCAACCGCTCCGAGGTACGACCTTATACGCAGCCGCTCCGAGGTACGACCTTTTAGTTTTCAGGGGTCGAGTTGCAGTCTGATACAACCTGATTGTGTTTGCCATTTTCAAGAAAAAAATTACTCATACCAATGCTTCTGTTATTTTATAATGGTCATAGCACATGTGATGTAAATTATGTAAATTTTTACCTATTACCATGTTAAGTACCATTTTTAAAAATTTATCAAAATGTCCTATTTTACCGGTGTACATTCCTCAAAATAAGAGGAACAAGCAGGCCCGCCCTTCCGCCAAACGAAGTTG